ACAAAACAAGAGACCCGAGAACTAGAAAGGCGAGGCTTCACCACCCATTTATCCCTCCGCCTTTCAACCAGCCCCACATGTAATTATCAGCCAGGCTGGCACAATTAACTAACTCACTATATATATCTTCCCTCCCGTATGGCCCTTCTGTGAGGGACTATCCAGTTATCTTACAGGTAGGTTTTGGGTCTCCACTTTGTCCATGCTCCTTCATATCAATCTGATTGTTTTTGAACTTCTGATACCTATGCATGTCGACATCACATGATCATACAGGTTGGTGTGCTTCTTCCATGTGGGCTTTGTTGCTTCCCTGTTAGATGGCTGCTTGTTTGACTACAAGCTTTTAAACCCCCAGATGATATATCTTTTGATAGTCAGGCACCATCAGCTTTCTTCACTGCATTTTCTTATGCACCCATTTTGTCTTCAGCGATCGTGTGGGGAAGGTGAGCATCATACATTGTTGAGGCCCTTTCTTGAAAGGACCAGCCCCCCGACCCCAAGCCACACAGCATCCCCAACACAATTCCACCTCCAGATCCTCAGCCTCATTGTCACCTCCCAGACAGTCCTTTCTGGCCCCTGTCCCAGGCTGGGCCTTCCTGACCCTAGGAACAGGGGCATCCCTGCATAGACCTGTGCCCACTGCACCGTCTCATTGGCTGTTGGTTGGGTGTGAAGGCACTTCCTTCTCTTGATTGGAAGGCATTGCATGTGCAAGTGGTCTGACACTTTCCCATTTGGGTGAAAATCTGTGCACCGAGCACTCGCCAGTGCGGTGCTTCCCACGTTTATGCACAGGTGGCACGGCTGACGTTCTCTGTCGTCCTTTCCCAAAGGTCCCGGCATGATCTGCATACCCTCATAAGCTCAATGCCCGCCCCTTTGCCCTCCCTCTCCCCGCTTGTGGCACCACAGAATGAAACCCTGCCGGTCCTGCACCATTGTGACAATTACCCCCATGCCTGAGCCCACTGTTGCAGCCACTGTGTCCATCCGGCTCCTTGAGGGTCTTCCTTTTCTTTTGGCACCCCTCCACTCTACGATGTCCTCGTCCGGGGGCTGGTCTCTCGGCAACATGTCTAAAGTACGTGGGATGAAGTCTCGCCGTCCTTGTCTCCAAGGAGCATCTGGCTGTGTTGCTTCCAAGACAGATGGGTTTGTCCTTTTGGCATTTTCTGTGTCCAACTTTCACGTGCATATGAGGTGGTTGATGCCGGGTCAGGCGCACCTTAGTCCTCAAAGGAGCCTCCCTACTTGTCAACATTCAAAATAGGTCTTGTGCAGTAGATGTGCCCAATGCGATGTGTCATTGGATCTCTTGGCTGCTACTTCCACGAGCACTGATTGTGGACCCAAGCAAGACGACTTCCATCTTCACTCACTGATCATGATGGTACCCATTGGTACAGCTGTGAGGACTTGGGTCTTCTTGACATCAGATTGTCATCTGCGCCGCAGGCTGCAGGTCCTCCCTATTTGCAGCATGCAAGGTAACCAGTAAAGTACAGCACGAGTTTGACACTGATTGACCAGTAACATCCTTTCAGGCTTATAGTTATTGTTAAAAATCACTTTATTGGGGCTCATACAACTCTTATCACAATCCATTCATGCATCCATTGTGTCAAGCACATCTGTACATTTGTTGCCATCATCATTCTCAAATAGGTTTACAGTTATTATGCTGAAAGCTGCTGAGGGCTTTCTATGAGCAGGCGAGGCATGCAGCCCTGCCGACCCTGCAGGTCCTCCCTCTTTGGCCTGCAGGGACTGTATAAGGCCGACCATCGCTTCGGGCCAGGCGTGGAGACCTACCCTGATGGCAGCCAGGACGTGGGGCTCTGGGCCCATGAGCACCTCATTAAGCTCTGCTTCCAGATGCCCGGAAGCTTCTCCTTGCTCAGCTTCCCCGAGCTGGCCCACTGCCTCCAAAATGGCCCGTCCAGGCTCAGTCTCTCAGAAGAAGAGGCAATGGAGTGGGGCCTGGATGAGTGCCAGGACCCCTTCTTCTACGAGTACAAGAAGTTCCTCCTGAATGATGACCTTGTGCTGCCCCCGGACATGCCCACCTACTCCACGGACAATGGCCACTTGCCCATGACCTATTCCCTCCGCAAGGACCTGGAGGCCCAGCTCTTTGTGGATGACATCCCACCCTTCGTGGAGGATGGGGAGCCCTGGCTCATCACAAACGAGACACCCCTGATGGTCAGAATCCAGAAGCAGGCATACAGATTCAGGTCAGCTGCTGCTGCCCACTCCCCCAACCCCCCGCCCATCCATCTTTTCTGCCTTTCTGCCCAGGTGTGCAGGCCAGGGCCCTGCTCTTGAAACCATCCAGCACTGGCTGCCCTTTGGTGGGCAAGCTGATTTGTTAGGACAGGGTAAGTATCCTCCTCCGATAGGAGACAGTGGTGCTTCCATGGTGGAATTCTTACCTTCCCGCTGGGAGACCTGGGTTTGATTCCAGGCCAGTGCACCTCATCACACACACAGATCTGTCAGTGGAGGCTTGTTTGTGGCTCTGATGCCCACCCATCCACCCACCCAGCCATCCTCCATATATCATCCACCCGTCCACCCACCCACCCATCCATCCGTCCATCCACCCACCCACTTATCCATTCACCCATCCGTTATCATCTATCCAGCCAACCACTCATGCAGCCAAGCAACCATCTGTCATTCCTCGTTTAACCACCCACCACCATTCATCCTCCCATCTGTCATCCATCCAATTTCCATCTACCCATCCATCCACCCACCCATCCATTAATCCATGCAAACATCTATCATTCCTCATGCATCAACCCATCCATCCACCTATTGATTTATCTTACACCCATCCACCTAGCATCCTATAATCACTGAGGACAGGGCGTAGCCACCATGAGCCCATGATTTCTTCATTTTGCACACACGTAAGGGGCACACAACAGGCATATGCAGTGAAGGCACTATGGGTTTGTGTGAGAGTCTCAGGTGAGTCATTGTGGGTGCTGGGTGCTGAGCTCTGTGTCCCTTATGTGTGCCTGGCACCTCCCTTCCAATGACCCCACTGTGAACACCAGTTTCTTAGCAAACCGGGGATAACTGAGATGACCCTTCTCCAGATGCTCAGCCTGGGAACCACTCAGGTCAGTGGGTCCCCACCTCTGTGCTGGTGTGTGGCCACTGGGGTCCATGACTTGGAGGGCGGAGAAGCTGTGGAGCAGGAAGGGGAGTGGTGGCCGTGCCGCAGGTGTCCGAGGTCTGCCGGCACCACTGAGCCCGCTGCTTGCAGGAACAAGAAACACTTTACCAACTGGCACCTGGACGCCATCATGCAGGGAGACCGCAGCAGCTTCGCGCATCACGGGCCCAGGGAGCGCCTGTCCAGGGAACTGATCCTAAAGGCTGAGAGCGGAGACTACGACTGGATCTACGGGGTCCTGCGGGACAACCTGGTCTCTGCCAACGTGGCTGACACCAAGGGCTACACCGTGCTTGCTGCCGCTGCTGTAAGCCCCAGCCTCCTGCTGCGATGGCCCCTGAGTGCCTCCCCCCCGGGGGGGGGGGGGTCAGAAGTAGGGCCCTGGCTTCCCTACTCTGCACCAGGGCCAGAGGGGCATGGCGGGCGCTCCTTGTCTGCTGCGCCTGACCCTCTGCCCTCCGTGGGAAGCCCAACCCACGTGACCTGCCAGGTCTAATGGAGAAGTGGGGGTGATACAGCCCCTCGGTGCCCCCCACCAGCCTGCCTGGGCATGACTGCTCAGTGCTGGAGGCCCCAGCTGGCTGCACAGAGCAGAGAGGTGTGTGCCTCTGGGGAGTCTGGGCCCTGGAGGTGGGAAAGTGTCCTGCCCTCTCTCCCGGCTGGGAGATGCACCTTCTCATGGCACCCTTCTTCTGCCTCTCTGCCTGCCAGTCTGTCTGTCTGTCTGTCTGTCTGTCTGCCTACCTGCTAGTCTGTCTGCCTGCCTGTTTGCCTGACTACCTGTCTGTCTGCCTGCCCATCTGGGCCTCTCTACTCCTTGATGGGCCACCCTGCTCTGCTGTGATCCCTTTTGACCCAAACGATGATCCTGCACATGCATGTGTGTCCATGGGGTGGCCAAGAACGGCAGCCGCCAGTCAGCCACCCGTCCTATGGTTTCCCTCCTTCATGCTTGGGTGGGCGTGTTCTCTGTCCCCTTCCCCCAACACCACATGGGGTCTCCCTCAGGGTGGTTGACCCCTGGCATCTCTCTCAGGATGAGTTTGCGCTGCCCCACCAGGTCTACAGCCACATTCGGGTCATCAGCCTCCTGCTGGACAGCGGTGCCGACGTGAACAAGCTCTCAGATGAGGGCCTCTCGGTCCTCAACATGTGCTTCCTCCTGCACTACCCCACCGAGACCTTCAAGGTCAACATCGCCGAGCGGACAGGGCCAGAGCACCAGGTCAGAGCCCGGTCTCACGCGAGGGCCCCCATCACGCCATGCGTCCACTCACTGCCCATCCACTGCTTCCATGCCCAGTCCCTTGTCTTCCTGCTGACCCAGGGGTGTACTCTGGGCATCAGACCCAGTGAGGATGGAGCAACACGTGTTCGCAGGGGCCTGGTGCCACCTCCCCGTGGCACACACAGCAGGACCTCAGGTGTCGGGTGGGGGCCGAGAGACATGGTCACTACATGCAGTTGCACATGTGTCTTCCCAGGGCCGAAGCCTCATCTTCCTCCATTTGTGTATATCTTTGTTCTTAACCTTTCGCAGGAAGTGACTGTGAGAACCCCAGTCCTATTGAGCACCCCCTTCCTGCCTGCCAAGGACCCCATGAGACCCCTGGAGCAGGAGGAGCAGGCCCTGTGCCAGGACCAGGAGGAGCCAGCACTGGTGGCGCCGGACTTGGAGGCTGAGTCCGCAGGGCCAGACTTCTTCAGGATGTCCCGGGAGCCAGGGAGGCCACCCCCCAGGCAAGGCCTGGACGAAGGGCTGGCCAGGGCTGACAAGGGCAGCAGCGATACCACCTTCGACTCCAACGTCTGTGTCCAGAACTTCTCCATCGACCTCTCCCCAGAGTTTCTGGAGCGCACGGCCCAGTTCTCTGGCCTGCTCAGGGCCCCGTCCGGGGGCACCCACAACTCCGACAGAGGTGCCCTGCAGAGGACGACGCTGTCCATGGCCGAGTGAGTCGCCGGGCAAGTGGATGGGGCAGCAAGGAGCAGCACTGAGCCTGCCTGGCACTGCCTGAGTATGGCCGTGGGGAGTCTATCTTGGGGTCCCCATGGTTGTCTCCTGGGCAATAGGTGCGGGCAGCACAGGAAATGTGTCCTAGGAGACATACAGGTGGGTGCTGGTCCTCATTCGCAAATTCCACCCCTCCACCTGTCCCTTCACACCTGCCCACCCTGGGTCTGGGCCGGTGGTTCTCAGAGGCACCCTGTTGAGGAATCTGCGTGGTCAGAACGCTTCTCCTCTCTCTGTCACCAGAAGACATTGTTGGCTATTTCTGCCATACTTGCTGCCGCACGGCTGTGAACAGAGCAGCAGTGCTGTGCATGCATTGGCTGTGGTCCCAGGCACCACGGGGCAGCTTGGCACACCCCCCGTCCCCAGCCACACACAGCAGGGACCAGCGCTCACAGGAGGTGGAAACTGTGCCTGGTGAGCTCCTGAAGTCTCGCCCTGACAGGAAGGAGTGAGCTGGCTGCACCCAGGTGCTTCCAGCATGTCTGCCCCCGCCATGGCTGGGTACAGACGGCCCAGCTGTCCCACCCTGGCTTCCTGTGGCTGCTCATTCTTGGGCATTTGGCTGATGCTGCCCTGAAGGTGGACACAGCTGGTCCTGCAGGACCACGCCTGGCAGTATGTCTGTCAGGACACACCAAGCTCTGGTGGAGTGTGGCTGTCTGTGGTTGGCTGCCGCCAGGTCGGTTCTGACACCCAGCCACACTGAGCACCCTGGAACACGGGCCCTCACATCCTCGCTGCGCGGGAGTCCACGCCACTGGGTCAGTCCAGCTCCTCTAGGGCCTTCCCCAGTTTCTCTGCTTGTCCACCCTTCTCCAGGGACTGGACCCTCCTGATCACACAGCTAACATGTGTGGGACCCAGTCTCACCATCCTCACTGCCAACGAGCATCTGGTTGTGCCCCTTCCAGGACAGATGGGTTTGCTCTTAACCAGCAGCATGCGTCGAGGGCATCCATTGTTCTGCGCTCGTCCTGGTTCCCTGTCCAGTTTTCAAATGCCCCAGAGGCAATCGAAAACCCCGAGTCATGGGTCAGGCACACTTCAGCTCTCAAGGCGGGATCCGGACCTTTCCGCACGCTAGGGAGGCCTTGTGCAGCAGGCGTGCCCCGTGGAACATACCGTTGGAGGGCTTGGTCGCTGCTCCCGTGAGCCTGGGTTGTGGACCCAAGCCAAATGAAACCCTGACCGCGTCCAGCGGTTCTTCGGTGACTAGGTGACCTGTGGGTCCAGAGGGGAGCACGTTGGTCCTCTTTGTAGCGAGTCATCGTCCGTGCTGGAGGCTGCCATCCTTGATCTTCCTCAGCCAGTGCTCCAGGCCTGCCCGGCTTTCCATGAGCAGGCTTGTGCTGCCTGCGGGTCAGGTGGAGAGGGCACATCTGTCGCCCATCCTCGGTGCTGGAAGAGGTGGTGCTGTGGTGGCAGCTGTGTGACACCAGCATGGCTTCTGATCCCGTGCGGCCGCATGGATCTGAATCAGGAAGAGTTCCACCCCATCAGGAACCAACTTCTCCCCGACGACCCAGGCCTGGCATTCCACGGGGCTGACATTACATGGGGCTGGTCCAGGGGCTTGAACGTGGCCAAATCCCCAAAGCTGACTGAGTCGCCTTTCAAGCCCCACATCAGTACTCACTCTGTGCCGACAAGTGGAGTTCCAGATGGACAGACCAGGAAGAGACGCCTGGGGACTTTCTCCTGAAAAACACCAACCAGCGGAAACCCTCAAGTTCACTCTGGTCGGAGTTGCCCCCGGTGATGGAGGTGCAGGTGTGGGCCAGGGTCCAATTTGATGGTGGCTCAAAACAACCGAGAATGCTCCCCTCCCCAATCTGGAAGAGCCGGAGACCCCCCCTAGCTGTGCAAGGAAGCCCTTCCCTCTCCCTATTCTCCTGGACGGCCCCTTGAAGCCCATGGGCTCAGCCTTGAGCCGCCTCTGCTCCCCACTGCCTGTGCTCTGGGGCGCACGGTGGCTGGTGCTGTGGGACTCAGGATGTTTGTGAGAGACAGGAGAGACCACTTGGACAAGCTCCAGGGCACCTCATGGGCCATTATGGGCTGAGCCTCTCCTCGGTGCCCCTTCACCCGCCATGCTGCCAGCCTGGCCTCCACTGCCCTGCACTCGCTCTCCTCAGCTCCTCCCGGGACCCACCCTCCCTGCCTTCTCTCAGCCTGCCAGGCGGGCCTGTGGGTGTGTGTCCCTGCCCACCCACCTGCACCTTGAATCCCTGGGCGGCCAGCAGTGTGCAGGTGTGTGTGCTGCGTGTGCACCTGTGTGCACGCATCCGTTGCCTGATGTGCGCGTGCACACTCGTGCCTTTTCTCGAGTGTGTGGCATGCTGTGCCCTCCCAGTCAGCGTCCCCAAGGGTCGGGTGGGGCCTGCCCCCTCTCCCAGGCAGGCTCCGAGGCTAGTGACGGGCACCCACTCTGCAGGGCTGGTGCGGGTGGGGGCAGCGCTCTTGGAGATGCTGCTGGCCCTGGTGGCAGTGGTGGGATTTTCAGGGCTTGTTCAGGTGCAGGCTGTCTAGGTGGTCGGGGCGCTGTCCAGCAGCTGGTGCTGAAACCACCTGCACCTCCCATGACCCACAGGCGTAGAAGGAGGTGGCAGACCATCCAGCTGCTGCTGCACCGAGGCGCTGACCCCAACCTGTGCCACGTGCCCATGCAGGTCTTGTTCTTTGCCGTGAAAGCCGCGGACGTGGACGGCGTGAAGCTGCTGCTGGAGAGCGGGGCTCGGACTGACATCCGATTCCCCCCGCAGGTGGGGTGTGGAGGCAGGGGTGGGAGAGGCCAGGTGTGCATGGGGGCAGGTGTGAGCAAGGGCGGGCGTGTGGGAGACCAGGTGTGTATGGGGCCGGTGTGAGTGAGGGCGGGCATGTGGGAGACCAGGTGTGCTTGAGGAGGCAAAGATGCCTGCCCATTCTAGCGCCTGTCCGTCTGTCCAGACCCCACTTGCATCTCTCTGACGCTGGTCCGAAGGGCTGTCCAGTCATTTCTGTAGTTGCACAGCGAGGCTGAAGCCCTCCCCCGTGCACACTCAGAGATGAGTTCCAGGAGCATCACCTTGGCCACACACGGGCCACGTCACAGCCACCACCGGGGCTCCAGTTCGAAACTAGCCCCCAGATGATGCATGGGCAGTCTGAGCACTTTGTTCTGAACATCACAGTGTTGGAGAAAGATCTGGTGACCTGATTCCATCCAAATTAAACTGAAACCCATGGCCGCCGTGTGAACTCTGTGACTCACAGTGACTGGATTGACCCTGTAGGACGAAGCAGAACTGCTCCACGGAGTTGATGAGGCTGTAAAGCTGCAAAGAAGCTCCACTGCCTGGTCTTTCTCTCAAGTGGTGACTGGTGGGTTCAAAGCACAAATATTTCCATTAGCAGCCGGGTCCTTAACCCACGGTGCCACCCGGGATCCAGCCAAGGAGCCACGGTGCTCCACAGCTCCAAGGTGGAGTGGACTTAGGGGCAGTGGTTGGTTTCCTTTTTTCTTTTTTAATGTTCTCCTCGTCTGTTTCTAAAGGAGTCTTGGTGGGGGTGGGGGTTAAGCATTGGGTTGCCACCCTAAAGTTTGGCAGTTAAAACCCGCCAGCTGCTCCAAGGGAGAAAGATGAGGCTGTCTGCTCCCACAAAGACTGACAGCCTCAGAAACCCTTTGGGGCAGTTATATTCTGTCCCCTGAGTTGGCAGTGGGTTGAGTTGGGTTGACTTTGGCGGCCTTTACTGAGAGTCATTGCTCAGTGGTGGCCCCTGGTGGCCGATTGCAGGCTGTAGCTCCTCTTGCAGGCCCATGGATTGGCTCGGAGTTTGAGACTTTTCGGAGGGAAAAGCTGAGACTGCGGGACTCTTATCTTGAATGGACTGAGGTTCCCCCGTCACTCTGGCGAAGGCATCACAGTCTTCCTCCCAACTCCAGTTCATCCCATCCTTCATCCAAATCCTCGTTCTTCAGTCTTCCTCCAAACCCAAGTTTTGCCTTTAAATGTGCCTGGGTGGGTGAGCCACAGGGTTTACTAATGGAATCATGGCAGATGCCCCCCCCCCCCCCCCATCACCCTGCTGATCCTTTGTCTCCACTGTGGGCAAGGGCCTTTGAATCCCTCTGGCTGGTCCCCTGTGCAAGCTCTATCTGAGTGATGAGGAAATGCAGGGGGCACACCGACTCCCTGAAGCTTCAGGAGGCGAAAGAGACCGCAGCTCCTCCCTAGCCCAAAGCCCACGGCCATGAGGCAGAGATGGGCATGCCTCTACCTCCATCCTTCCTTCCCCTATCTGACCACAGCACCTCCCACAGCAAGCTGCTCCGCTGGGCTTGGTCACTTGGTGTCCTGGCCCCACAGAGCAGGTCTGTCTTAAGAGAAATACAACCAGGGGCTGCTTAGGAGCAGGGATGGTGAGACTTGGTCTCACGTGCTTTGGACGTGTTGTCAGGAGAGACCAGGCCCTGGAGAGCATCATGCTTGGTCAAGTGATGGGGTGGCGACAGAGAGGAAGGCCTCCAACAAGATGCATGGGCACCGTGACCGAAGCAGGGGCTCAAACTGAAGAAGAACTGCGGACAGCACAGGGCCGGTGGGGCGTTGCTCTCTCCTTCGCCGGCTTCCTGTGAGGGGGACCATCTGGATGGCACCGCCCCACCTAATTCTGCTACCAGGAGCAGGGTCGTGGCGCACAGGTGACAGGCCTGTGTGGCTCTGGTGGTGCATCCCCAAGGGCTGAAGACACCGGCACATGTCACTCTTGTCCCCACGGCTCTGAGGCAGAGTCTTTGTGGGCCGTCCCTGTCTGTCCCCGGGTCTCGGGGTTCCTGGCATGTAGGTGCTTCTGCCCCATCCCAGGGCCCATCTCACCTGTGTCTGGTGTCCTTTTGTAAATGTCACTCGTGGCCCTGCCAGCACAATACAAGCAACCCCTCTTTCCGAGCAGGGTCCCACTGGAAGGAGCAGGGGACAGGACCTCCTGTCTATGGGGACCCGGTTCCCTCCCTAACAGGCCTCACTCCCAGCCCTTCTCCTCGGCAGCTGCGGTCACTGACCCCTCTCCACATCGCGGCCGCCCTGCCTGGCCAGGAAGGCGTCCAGATAACGGAGCTGCTGCTGCACGCCATCACTGACGTGGATGCCCAGGCAGCCGACCAGGACGAGGTGTACGGAGGAGCCCACCAGGTGCGTCCCCACTCAGGGCCAAGCCTCCTCTGAAGGACCCCGGGTCCACTGCCAGCTTCACCCAGGGGTGCAGTATAAGAAGGCGAACAGCATCTGGAAGGTCACCTTTCATCCTCTAAATCCCTGAGCAGGGAGGGGCCTGCAGGGTGGGGTGGCAGGAGTGTGGGCCTTGGACAGAGGGGCACCCGGGGTGTGGGGGGGTGTTCAGAGGAGAGGTGGCAGGGGACAGTGCAGCTGCAGTGAAACCACCCTGAGATCTAGCTGCCATGACCCTGACCCACCCAGGACTCAACAGCCACTGGCTGGACCCCAGCCCCGGGCTGCACCTTGCTTCCTTCCTCCCAGGGGACCCAGCTCCTGAAGGTGGTGCTGGCAGGGTCCATCCCTTGACTGCTGTGTCCTCACAGGGTCAGGGACTCTGGGGCAGGGTGGGGGCTCCGGCCCTCTGCTGTCACAGGTATGGGGACTGCAGGCAGGAGCCCAGGCAGCTCCTGAGGTCACTGCTCAGTCCCCTGTGCTGTGCCTGAGTCCCTGCCCCACCACCCCCATGTGTCCTCAGATAGAGCAGCTGCCTCCCTCCTCCCTGAAGCTCAACAATGAGCTGGGCCCCCCCAGCACCTACTACACCCCCTGCCCACCGGCCCCTGAGGGAGGCCGGACGCCGCTGCATGTGGCCTGTGAGCGTGAGGACGACAGCAAGGTGTGTGCAGTGGGGGAAGGGGAAGCAGCAGGGACCCTGTGCAAGGTGGGCTGTTTCCTGGGGTGGGGCTGGGGGTGTCTGTGAGGAAGGGCCGGGTGGGGGAGGGGAGGAGGTCTGCTGTGGTGTCACTGCTCAGACCTTCTGCAGTGGGGGAGGGGGCAGCACAGGACGTGAGGAGGGCAGGGCGAGACTGGGGTTCTCTCTCAGACACTGGTTGTGACTGCTGGGCCCTGGGCCCCACACATGACTTCTGGGACATCCCCCGGCTCTGGGAAAACAAGCTGCTTGCCCCGGAAACAACACCCTGCTCAGAGCACATTCTGTCCTCTCCATTTGAGTGGGCATCCCTCCACCTGTTAATCCACCTATCGCCCATCCACCCAGTCCTCCCCATCTACCCAGCCACCCATCCATCCATCCATATGGTCGTACTTCCATGCTTCTGTCCTTTCATCCATCCATCCATCCATCCATCCATCCATCCATCCATCCATCCATCCACAGAGCCAGCCCTCTTTCCATCCATCTATTCATAAAGCCATATATCTATCCATATACTCATTTATCCATCCACCCATCAACCCAGTCCTCCCCATCCATCCATCCATCCATCCATCCATCCATCCATCCATCCGTCTGCCCCTTCCATCCTTCCATCCATCCTCTCATCATTCATCCATCTACACACCTGCCCACCAACCCATCTGTCCAGTATTTAAAACATTTTCTGAGTGCCAGGAAGGTGCTGGCATGGAAAAGGAGCAATCATCGACTAAATTGATCGGGGATTAACTTTCAGTAAATGATCAAAGTCAAGTGTTCCTGGGGCCTTAGGATGCCTCTTTCACCAGTTGCTTCCTGTCTCCTCACGCAGAGTGTCAGGGACATAGTCCGACTCCTCCTCTCCCACGGCGCCAACCCCAACATGCTGTGGAGTGGCCACTCCCCGCTGTCCCTGTGCATCACCAGCGACAAAGACTTGGTGAGCACACCCACCTGGGGCCCCGCCCCCAGGGCCGGCAGCGCCCAACCCTGTGGCCGGAGCTTGCTGGGGGGGGGGTGATGGCATAAAGAGGGCATGGCGCAAGGACAGCAGAGCGTCCAGTTTGGGTGGGCTCGGTGAGGGCAAGGCAGAGAATGGAGGGTGAGCAGTGTGGCTGGAAATAGCCCCTTAGTCCCTCCTGGAGGGCCTGCCCGGGTGCTGCTCTGGGCACTGGGTGGCAGTAGGACCCATGGACTGTTGAAACAGGGTGGTGAAGCCATGGACAGTGTCCATGCTGGGGGCTACCATGGTGGCCAGTCCCAGTGTGGCCTCCTCTGGGGACTTTCTTCCTGTAGGGAGGTGGCTCAGTGGCCACCAATAAGCCCATCTCTGTGCCCAGATTGTGAGGGAGCTCCTGGCCCATGGTGCTGACCCTAACCTACCCCTGACCAACGACCTGGGCAATGCCCTGTGCCTGGCCTGCGACCTGCACTTTGACCACCACCACAGCGTGGACCACAGGCTGACCCTGGTGAGAGGGCTGCCAGGGCGCTCAGACTCGGACCTGGTGCCCTTCTGCTGACAGCGGGGGGGACAGGTGGGGGGCGGGAGGGAGGGGGGCTTGTCACCACACTCAGGGGTAGGAGGGGAGGACAGCCAGGTCTTTGCACTGGAAGTTTTTCACTGTGAATCGGGTGACGGGTTGCAGAGCAGGCCTGTCCCCACCCAACAATTCTGACTCTTCTGTTCCATCTGGGTGCCCAGCTCCACAGGGAAAGCATCTCTGCCCCGACCCCCACCCCCGCCAGCTCCTGTTCCCCTCCTCCTCTTCTCCTTACCGAGGGTCCCACCTCCCTGTTTTATGAGCCCTAACAGCCGAGGAGTGAGGAGCGTAGCTGCCCAACCACTCACACCCAGGCCCAGAGGCCGGCTGTGTCCAAGGAGAGGCTGTAATCAGGGGCAGGGGAAAAATCAGGAACAGGGGACAGTCAGGAACAGGGGTAGGGGCATAGGCAGAGTCAGGGACAGAGTCAGGGGCAGAGACAGGGCAAGGGCAAGGCCAGGGGAAAGGGCAGAGTAGGGCAGCAGGGCCCTAGTCCAAGTCTGGGTCAGGGGCAGAGGCAGGAGGACTTCAACATACCAGGCAGGGCCTTTCTGGGCTTTGGGTAGTGGAGAGAAGACAAAGTGAAGGGATGGTGGCCGGCCTTCAGTGGGGGCTCTGTGTGTCTCTTGGAGAATGGGGAGCAGGGAACCTCTGTGAGTGCTTTTGAGGGGGTGCTGGGCTGGGAGGGAAGAGGGCAGGCCTGGCGTTTGCCCTCCTGTTGCTGACAGTGGGGCCATGCCAAACACAGCTGGTGGTGGTCAGGACTCTGCAGGGCAGCTGACTGATGCCAGGCATGGAAGAGGCCAGACCTCCCATGGGGCAGGTGTGTCAAGGTGTCCCCAAGGCGAAGCCTGACATGACTGCAGTGGGATGGTCATTAGCATGGCTCAGCCTCAACTCCGTGTCTGCATACCTGCATGGAGCCCTAGCCAGAATGCATGTGGAGGGACCCTCTGCCCTTGGGTTTAGGGCTGGGCACAGTTGGCAGTGTCCCGGACACCCCGATTTTCATCCTCTCCTGACAGAGGCCCTGTGCCTCCTGGCCCAGCCCAAAGGTGCCCTTCTCCTCGAACCCCTTCCTGCTGCCCTCCCTCCTTTCCCCCGATTGGCCATAGCAGGTTCATGTCCACAGATTGACCGGCTCATCTACCATGGGGCCAACATCCTGAGTCCTGTGACGCTGACCCAGGGGGATAAGGTGGCTGTGGGCACAGCAGTGGACTATGGCTACTTCAAGTTCTTCCAGGTGCAGCCTGGGCCCCTGACTCAGGGGGCCCACAGTGCTTTCGAGGAGGGGTGGGCTGGAACTGACCACAGCCCACCCCACCCCCCACCTCCCGCCGGACACACACTGTGTTCGGCACAAGAGTGGAGGCTGGGGCTGATTCCTGGCACTGGCGGGGGGTGGGTGTGGGTGGGTGGGGGTGTCTGCCCTCGGGTGGGGTGGCTGGCCCTGGCTCTGACCCCGAGGTGCCTGCCGCAGGACCGCAAGATCGCACACTGCGCGTTCCACACGCTGCTGCCGGCTGAGCGGGAGACGTACCTGGCACGGAAGCGGCTGCTCGAGTACTTGGGCTTCCAGCTGCGCCGCGCAGTTCTGGCTGTCGAGAGCCAGTGGGACCTGCAGAAGCTGTCCCTGAGCAAGAGGGGTGGGTGGGTGGACGCCTGGACAGTGGGGTGGGCTGTGGGGGGGGGGGCGGGGGAGCGGCGGGGGAGGCAGAGAGGGTAGGTGCCAGGGTAGGAGGAGGGTGGGCAGGTGGGTTTCCGCGGAGTGGCTACTGCTCAGCCACCCTACGCCCCACCTCCCCAGCAGCCCCAGCTCTCCCCCAGGGCATGCACAGAGTTTGAAATCTGATGGGGCCAGGCAGGAGGGGCACCAGACACAAGCGCCTGTTGCTGCCGGGGCCTACAGCCAGTCCCCCTACCCAGTCCTTCCCTCCTGCCCCTGAGAAGGTGCTGATGGAGGAGGTGGGGGTGCCCAGAGCCCTGCAGCCCTGTCTGCAGCAGGGGGTTCTTCATCCTCAGTGGACCAGCAGCACCCACCCCCTCCTGGAGGCTGCTAGCTCCTCCCATTTCCAGCTTGAGGCCCACTCGGGTGCTGTAGGGTCCCCTGGGGGTCAGAGACTAGGGGCCCCCAAGGCTGCATCTCTTACTTAGTTCTCCGGGGTGACTCAGGACACAGGAGGCTGTGCTGTGGTGACCCTGGTCCCTTCTCCTGCAGCTGAGCTGGCTCCCCCCAACAGGCTGACGAGGAAGAGCCTGGGAGCTCTTAAGTCTGAGGAAATGGAGGAGGCAGAGGAGTGAGTCGGGCCGGGGGGGGGGGGTGCAGGTTAGGAGGAGGAATGGCTGAGCCCTGCCCACCTGAGCCCGGCACGCTCACCCAAAGACCACTCAAGCCTCCTCAAGAAGCCAATTCATCCACTTCTCTCTTACACACACACACACACACACACACACACACACACACACACACACACACGAGAGTCCAGGTAAGAGAACCTGTGTGGCAGCTGGACCCAGTGACACAGGGGGTGGGGGTGGGTGGGAGGGGGGGTGTCACCAGGAGGGGCTCAGTGACAGCTAGTGACCACAGGGCAAACAGTACAAACAAAACAGCATTGACAAGAAGCGTGATGGTCATGCTGAGAGAGGGGGAGGGCAGCACTGTTTAAAATGCCCGGTCAGAGCTGGAGAAGTGAGAGATATGCAGGGCACAGGGGGGTCTCAGACCCCCAGGACCTGGCACCTCAGACTCCCACAGACCACCGTTGAAGCTGAGGAGTCCTACTCTTCCTGTGTCATCTCCTCATGCTGAGAAGCAAAGTGGGGACAGTTGGGGCCGAGGAAGCAGGCAGCATCAGCCACCAAGCTTGTGGTCAGGTGTCCTCCTGTCATCCCGAGACACAGACCCCACGTGTCACAGTACCACAGGGGGACGGTGACTGAGTGGACCGGGAAGAGACCTGGGGGTGGGGCCTATCAGTGGGGGGACACAGCAAGCCTTCCCCACTCTGGGGCACCTCCAGTGGCCCACTGGTTGGTTGACAAAGATGTCAGCACCAGAGAACCCCAGAACCTAAGCCCGTCCTTTCTCCAGGAGAATGGACCAAGCCGGATCCAAAGCACATTTCTGAGTTGTTCTCATCACCCAGGGTCAATGTGTGACGAGTGGAGGGGAAGAAGGGAGGAGGAACCAGAAAGGAAAGGGAATTGCTGGAAAAGACAGGAGGAACCCACCAGAGTGGGTATCAGAAGGGGCTCTGACACTCGCTCTTGGGGGCAGAGTGGCCAACGTGAATGGAGAAACGATGGCGTTGACGAGCGGAACAGAAAGCTTCCTTCCCCACAGGAGCTTGAGCAGACAGTCCAGTGTTACAGTGAAATGCAGAAAGACCCGGAGGTAGAAATCCCAAAGGGAAGGACATGCTCAGCGTCTCAAGCTGGAAGAACGGACAGCAAGAGCCAAGCCTTGAATTGTAAGGCAGAAAGGTCCCAGGGGCAGAATACAGAGCGGCGCCCGAAGCATCAGAAGATGATGGGAGGTACTCAGTCCACGTAACGAGACCAAGCACTCCAGATCCAGCCTTGTCAAGCGGCAGCATGTGACCAAGAGCCGTTGGTGCTGAAGGAAGAAGCCCAAGCTGCACTGAAGGCAGGAGCCAGAACCAAGCCTCCTGGAATGGATGGCACACCCACAGGCTTGGTGCTTCAACAAGCCGACGAAGGCTTGGCAGCACTACGCACTGAGCACTTGGAGGTCTATGCCAGGCAATTTGTGAGACAGTGACCTGGCCAACTGTCTAAAAGGGATCCACCTTTATGTCCATTTCAAGGAAAAGGGACCTAGCAGAGATTTGGACATTATCAGGCAGTATCATTACTATCACCTGCAAGTGAACCTTTGCTGAAGGTCATTCAAAACAGTTGCAGTGACAGGGAACCATCAGAAAGCCAAGCTAACTTCAGAAGAGGACGGGAACAAGGGATTTTGTCGCTGACGTTAGTTGTCTCGGCTGCAGACAGAGAACACCTGAACGATGTTTACTTGTGTGTTACCGTGAAAAGGCATTTGAGTGTGGCTCGTGAGAAACTAATGCATAATCTTGAGAAGAGTGGGGATTCCAGAACACGTCATTGCCCTCATGAGGAACCTATATTAAGAGACAGCTGTGCCAACAGAACAAGGAAACACTGCTTTAAGATCAGGAAAGGTGGGCCAGGGTTGTATTGAACAGAGACTTATTCAATCTGTATAGGCAGCCAATAATCTGAGAAGCTGGACTGGATAAAGAAGTGTTTGCATCAGCATCAGAAGAAGGCTTATTGCAGATGGCCCCACCTTGCTCACCGAACGTGCCGGGCCTGGACCCACTTGCTGATGAAGATCCAGGACTGCAGCCCTCAGGATGGATTATGACTCAGGTAAAGAAGGCAGAAATCCTCACAGCCAGACCAACAGACAACATCATGATAAATGGAGCAAAGATCAAAGCTGCCATGGATTTAATTTTGCTTAGATCCACAATCAATGCTTACGAAGCAGCATTCAAGAAATCAGTGTATTGCACTGGGCACATCTGCCACCCTAGACCCCTGAAAGTGTTGCAGAGCAAGGGTCTGCCTTTGAGGACCAAGGTGTGACTGGCCCAAGCCATGGTATCTCACCCACCCGGACGCACGGCACACTGACCAGAGGAGAATCCGTGCACTTAAACCATGGCGTGTCCCCACCTGCCTTGGAGGAAGCGCCACCTGCACGCTCCTCGGACTCGAGGATGGCGAGACGTCGTCTCAGGTACTTAGGCTCTGTCACCAGGAATGAGATGAGTCCCGGAATGGACACCACACTTGGTCAAGCAGAAGGTCAGAGGAAACTGTCCAGGAGCTGGATCGGCTCTGCCGCTGCAGCAATGGGCTCCTAAACGCCCTTGTGAGGCTGGTGCAGGACTGGCGATGCTCCTGTTGTAGTCCGGTCGCTGTGTTGGGAGTCCACTGGACGGCACCACCCTTGGGGAGTGCCGATGGTGAGGCAGTCAGTGGTAACGGAAGAGATCAACCCAGACGGGTCACAAGGGAAGCCTGGAAAAGAGCCCCTGAGAAGCTCGTGGGGCATCAGAGCGGGCTCCATGCAGTGGACACGCGGTCAGTGGCCAGGTTCTACCCGCGCTTGCAACTGTCGCTTGCCCTTCTTATTCAAACACTGCCTCATTTCACAAGCTCCCCAGGTGTGACAGCATGGTGCCCCCCACACACATGGACGGGACGTCTTTACTCAGTCAGCGGGCAGTCCTCTGGGAATCTGTGTGCCTTCTGTTCTGACAGCACTGTGCTGAGCGTCCTTGAAGCTATCCTGCATCTTCCATGCACCTCCCTGCAAGCACACCTTTACCGGGGCCCTGGCCCTGGCTGGAGGTGGGGGTGGGGTAGAACAGCAGGTAGCACTGTCTCCCTGCTTTGGTGAAAACAGCAGGGGTTTAGTCACAACTCAGGCACTCAGGATCAACATAGATCACAAGGTCACAAGGTGTGAATCATAGGCTGACCTTGGCAGATGGGCAAAGGCTTGGGGCACCAGCTGCCACCAGATGAGCAGGGGCCCTGGTTAACCATGGGGGTGGGCATGGGCCCAGACTGAGCACAGGGAATGGTAGGGGTCCTGGTTGGCCATGGGAGGTGGGCAGGGGTCCTTGTTGACCATGGAGGGTGGGAAGGCTGAGCACCCTGGCTGAGCACACGCCCTGCCCACAGGATCCCCTTCTTCAAGTTCTGCTTCCAGTGCGGCCGCTCCGTGGGGGTGCGCCTGACCCCCTGCACGAGATGCTACGGCATCCTGACCTGCAGCAAGTTGTGCAGGACCAGGGCCTGGAATGAGTACCACAAGCGGGACTGCGGTGCCAACATTGCCCAGAGTATGTGTCCTTCCTGCTGCCCCGGTGGGGGTGGGGGAAGGAGGGGATGGCATCAGGCCTGGGGCTCTGAGCTGCCTTACCTGTTTATGGGCATCCCTGAGCCCAAAGGGGGCTCCCCGCCTCTGTTCAGCAGTGGGGAGCACAGATACACAGAGGCAGGCCAGGTCTGGGGGAGTCTGGGCTCCTGCTGGGCCCTCCCTCTGGGGTCACACCTCTGTGCAACCTGAGTTTCTCTTGGGCCTCCCTTGCCCCTCCCTTCCTCCTCCCTCCTCTGCACCCCTCACCAAGCCACTTCCACAGAGAACAGATTGTGGGGATCCTGGGCTCCCAGCCTGATGATGGGGTGCCTCCCCAGAGCTAACAGAACAGCTGCCCAGGGGGTGTCTGAACAGTGCCTGCTTAGCCCTCACTGCCCCCATCCCCTGAAGTTTCTGCAGGCCCCACACACAGCTGGGACAAACACAGCCCGGGGCCTGTGGCAGCTCCTGATGGGGGCAGGCAGCCACCCCACCTCTCTTCCCTCAGGCCCCCGACTGCCCCTGAGACTGAGCCCCCACACTCACTCCCCAAGGGTCCTGAGGACCCCTTGTCGCAGCCACAGTGTCAGTCCATCTCACGGAGGGCCTTCCTGTTTGTCCCTCTCCTTTACCCAGCACGGTAACCCGCCCCAAACAACGTTGGGGCCTGTAGGAGCAACAGTCCGGCAACCATATACAAAGATCATAGTAGGTCATAGAAGACAGGAGAGATAGGGCAGAAGGTAAAATACAGGAGTCAGACACATTGTATGGTAGTGTGCTCACTCTTGGACCGCCATGATCTCAGCAGCAGAAGAGAGAGGCGGGAGGAGAGAGTATATTTCTAACCAAGGCTTATATATACTTAGGGTGTGCAAGCCACCCCCTGATTACAGGGAACCGCATACGTCACAGGAAGGGGTTGTGCCATAGGCAATACAGCAATGGGAGGGGGATGATCTAGGAGTGTACATGCAATAGAAAGAGGAAGGATTAGGGGTACACATGTGACAAGATGGGCGGACCCTAGATTCATGCCGGTGGCCTAACCTTGATGGTCCTTGAGCCACTTGACTTACACGGAGCTCCCCTTCAGGAAAGCAGTGCTCGGTCCTCCTCGGCAGGGAGTGAGCCCACCTACAGTGGGCCTAACAGTAGTCTGGTTGCTCTGGATGGCTGATGCCCTCAGGGAGAATACTTCTAAGCAGCTGACCTCTTGCCCTGCGCTAGCAAGCAGACTTGGCATATATTTGGGGGAGACAATCTGGGGAACGACCTTTCCGTATCCCACACAGCATGACGTCCTTCTCCAGGGACTGGCCTCTTCTGACAACATGTCTAGAGTATGTGAGACGAAGTCTCGCCTCCTTGCCCTTAAGGAGCCTCTGGCTGCGCTTCTCCTGAGACATCTGTTCTGTGGCTGTCCGTGGTCCGTGGCACCTTCCATAGTCTTGCTGGCTGGGTCCCTGGGTGTCGACCCTTTTCTGTCCACCCCACCCTCCCACGTATCCACTGCCCACCTTTTACATGAATACGAGGTGATTGAAGAGGCCGTGGCCGGGGTCCGGGTCCTCTGATTTCCTGACTGCTGCTTCTGTGCGTGTCGAGAGGATTTTGGCTCTTTGTTTTCTGTACACTGAGTGGCAAGCATTCTGAAGTCTGTGGCTGTCAACAGCTGGTGCCTAGATAGGTGCTTCAGAAAGCGATGAAACTTCCCCGGACTTCTGAAGCTCCCCTCACACTTGTGTGTACGTGTGTGTAGAGAGGGCCCACCCTGGTGCAGTGGTTATGCATTAAGTTGCCCTGGACTTGACTCTGCCCATTGGTCTGTCTGATTCCACGGCTGTAACGTGATGGCCAGACCCTCCCTCTGTTGCCTGTCTTTCTTGGACACCCGGAGAGCCACGTGGCTGTGGTGGCTGTGTTGGAGTTGTTGGCCCACCCCCAGCTGGCCCAGGCTCAGGGTGACCCCTGCACAGCCGCGCTGAGCGCTGCCCTGCCCTGTGCCATCCTCCTGGTAGGCTGTGGATCAGAAGGGGTTCACTGGCAGATTCTGGGAACTCGGTTACCAGCCCTTTCTTCCTAGTCTTAGCTTGAAGTCCCTCAGAAAGCTGCTCAGCCACAGCCATGTGTAGCAGACGCCTGGGGCGCAGAGCCGGGAGTTGACCCAGCTGTCCCACATGGAGGGCTGGGTTTCACCCCGGAGCCAACCCTGCTCCACTGTGGTCAAGGGAGCTGGAGGCAGACCCCTGCAGAGAGGGGGACTCCAAGCGACCCCTGCTTCTGCTCTTTCAGCGCCTGAGGATCTGCCCATGTAAAGTGCAGCTGCTCCCAGCGGACCGGCCCAAGGCTCCGGGATGGCTGGCGGGACCCAGGCCCTCTCCAACACGGAGTCGTAGAATGAGCACCGAGCGCCTGTGCGGGTCACTCACTGTCCCATCGTGCTCAGGGCGGGGCTGTGTGGGGGTGGGCCGAGAGGGTAGTCTTCCCGACCAATGTCCGGGCAGCGGCTGGGGGGAGATGCACTGGCGGGAGCCATTTCTGCCCACCAGCTGGATGGGTGGTGGAGGTTCCTGGAGAGGGATGGCCAAGGGGCTCACATGGCAGCATAGCCCGAGTCTGTGGGGGGCCGGGACTTGCCAGTGCGGTGTCCCTGCCCTGACCTCGCCTCTTTCTGGGGAAGGGGGAGCCCCTGTCCCAGGTGTCTGGCATGGGACCCCTCCCTGGGTCGGTGAGCTGTCCTGAGCCATCTGGGGTGGCTGCGGGGCTGGCGTGCGCATGCTCCGAGAGCCCCACTTCCCAGGAGGAGCCCACTCAGAGGGCAGGCCTTTCCTGGCGTCACAAGGGAGCTCTGAGTCCTGCTCACACCCTGAGGGAGGGGTCTGCGGCCCGAGGACAGGGTCAGTATGGCGGCTCAGCAATGGTGGAGTCTGCTGTGGGGAAGGTGGGGTCTGGTGGGGCTCTGCTGCAGGGAGGTCAGGGTCATTAGCCAGGAGGATTCAGCCAGCGGCAGGGAGGGCGAGGTCAGAGGTGGAGAGGGCGGGGTCTGTGATGGGAGGGTGGGGTCTGGTGGAGAGGGCCCAGTCAGCTGCGGGGGGGAGGGGCGGGGGGAAGCAGGTCTGTGGTGGAGGCAGTGGAGGGGCCATTTGCTGGACGGGGAGTAGCCCTTGTCCACGGCGCAAAGGGCGTAGTCACCATGCAGGGATGGGGTTCATGGGATGCCAGCTCATACGCCCTGCGATAGGTCCCATCTTACCAGCCTCGGGTCCAGTGACCACCCCTCCCTGGCAACACCTCTGGCTAGTGAGGGACCACTCACTCTTGACCTCGGCTGGATGGGAGCCAAGGTCGGGGCCACAGGCATGGGTAGGGGCTGGGCAGGAGTAGCTCGGGGAGTGGTGACGGAGGGGCTGGGCTGGGTGCTTGGAGGCAGGGCTCCCAGACAGAGATGAGTGCTGTCAGGGCACACCTGGGTGTCACTCGGTCATTTACTCTCAACCTGGAGCTGGGACACTCGTACAGCAGGAGCTGGGGGGCAGCTCCGGGGGAGGGGTGGCATCCTGGGGCTCGAGAGTGACAACCCAGAACGGACTCAGCAGGGGAGGAGGCACCCCTGAAATGGAGGGGGTGTGAGTGCAGCAGCTGACCCACGGGAGAGTCTGAGGCCGCACGCAGAAATGCTGGCCATCTGAGGTCCCTGTTTGACTGCTGGCCCAAGGCCTGGGAACTGCATGGACCCCCTGCCAGCCTCCAAAGAGCCCCTGGTGTGGCCACCCCAGGAAGAGACTCTCACCTGCTCAGCACCTGGCCTTAGTGCAGTCCTGGTGCTGACCACCTGCTGGAGACAGTGCCCAGGCACCTCTCCCTTCCCAGGCCCGCCTGTGGATCCCCTCCCCCACGACAGGCCACTCATTGCCGAGGCGGGAGGTGGACTTGAGGCTGTCTCCCGGGCCCGGAGTCCCATTGCTCTGGGCGGGGGGCAGTGCTGGGGCCGCAGGGACAGGGCACCACGCAGAGCAGGGGTCTGAGGAAGTCTGGTGACATGGTGGGACCTCAAAAGTCCCCTGGCGGGGAGAGCCCCAGTCTGGTCCTGGATGCAGCCAGCCCTTTTTCAGGCTGGTTCAGGGGTGAAGGGGTTTCTGAGAGTTCGGGGGGGAGGCCAGTCAGAACCTCAGTGACCAGCCAGAGGCAGGGGCCGGAGAGAGGTCCAGGGCATCCCTGAAGCTGGGCTGGCAGTGTCCCTACCAGATGGCAGGTGTGAGGTGAGGGGTGGAGGGTCAGGAGGAGAGTGGGGC